AATTGCAGATGTACCTCAGAAAACTTTCACTTTATGTCTCATACTCTACATAAATATTAAACCAATACGAAGTACAACAACATATGTAGGACTTATTTCTACTGTCACTTACATCGTAAAAATATCTCCTCTTCAATTTGAAATAAAACCAATGACAATCCTCATGGTATCCTATATGCGTTCGTAAGTTTGCTATAATACTACTTCGTATTGGTTTAATATTCATGCAGAGCATGAGACATTAAGTGAAAGGTTTCTGAGGTACATCTGCAATTGTCGGAAGGCAAAAAATCAAAACATATATATATGATACTAGATCGGGAGGTGGAATGGTTTTTGTTGAACAACGTACCTGCAGTAGGCTCGTGCGTTGCTACCATTGGTCCGTTTACTGCACAGCAGTATTTGTTTTGTTTTTCTTGTTTTTTTTCTTCAAATTGAACTCGTGTCAGTTGCTAATCCCAAAATCTAGCCAAGACTCGGTCCGTGGTCACAAAAATGCTAGAGCCATCAGAAGATCTAAAGCACACACACTATTAGCAAGAAAAGGGTACGCAAGCCCGAGGAGGTACACCTGCAATCCCTTCAGCACGTTTGCATGCTCACAACTGAACTACACGCCCACACACTACAAATCGACTACAGCAGCAGCATCACCCCCATTGTCCCGCATGTAACCAAAATGAATGTTTGTCGACTACAGCGTACTGCTGTCTGAAGTGCTGTCTGTACAACAATAACTTCATGGTGCATGGTACACAAGCTCGGGGCATGCAGCTGCTGTCTGAAGTGCTGTCAGAATGAGTCCGTGGACATCCAATGAAGAAGAACACCCAACCAAAGCCATCATTGCAATTGACAATCACCCGAATCTATCCAGATCATCTGTGTTAGGCACAGCAGTGTAAACATCGACACTGGCTAAGAATCGTTCCACATTGAAGGGGTCTTCCACGATGCAGGTACACAATAAAAAGCACCCGGGTTATCCGCGCCATCTCTGTGACGTCTCTCTACAAAACCAGTGACGTCATCACACTCACCCAACACCTGTATTCAGGAAAAAAAAGGAAAAAAAAATGACCACACAAGAGATGTTTGTCCGTGCGCCACGGTTCGATGCCGTCCGCCTGCTCCGGTTCCGCTGCTCCGGTGCCGCTGTGGCCAGTCATAGCACGACCAAACTTGACCCGCTCCGCTTCGTACACGCTCTCGTTGCTGTCCATTCCAGTCGGTTCCTCGCTTTCTCCCTCGTTGCATTTAGGGTTCTTGGTCCAAAAATTCTCGCGCCGAAGGGTCAACCAGCCTAATCAGCTCGTCACTTCCTGTCCCCTCCTCCTTTGATAGCAAAACCAGGTGACTGAGAGAGTACAGCTCCCTCTAGCAAACCTAGGGCCGGGTACGTAGTGCCCGTCCACCTTTCTGATGACGTCTGCCTCCGCGCACAAGGATAAGATGGGCATTGCTGCCTGCACCGATGGCCTGGAGGCCCGTGCATCTGCACCTTTGTACCTGACGCACCAGTGCCGACCCAACTAAACAACTACGCACGCCTCGCGGCTGGAGCGCCGCAGCAAGAAGGTGTCGGTCCCTTGAGGGTGAGTCTAGCCCTGCTCGCTAGAAAGACCCCCCCCTCGCTATGGGTCATGCCTACGCAAAACCTTGCCGAGGCAGCAAGGGGGAGAAAGAAGTGTATTACAATGTACTGATTGAGGTGTGGGGGGCGCCAATCAATGTGACTCCGGGGGAGAGGGAGGGGTGTGGTATATTACTAGATCGGGAGGCGGAATAGTTTTTCGTTGAAAAGCGTACCTGCAGTAGGCTCGTGCGTTGCTACCATTGGCCCGTTTACTACACAGCAGTATTACAATATATTGATTGAGGTTTGGGGGGCGCCAATCAATGGATGGACTCCGAAAAAAATAAGGTCTCGGAAAAAAAGGACACCTCCACACGGACTCGAACCCATGATTTCGAGAGTCAATGTGGCCTTCACCGAGTTCACGAAGTGAATTGGCTTGTTTTACAACGTCATTGCCAAGCGACGAAAACCCGATCCCGATGGCAAACACCGAGGGGGGGGATTGTTTTACAACTTCGTTGCCAAGCGACGAAAACCAAACCCCGATGGCAAACACCGGGGGAGAGGGAGGGGTGTGGTATACTAAAAAACAGCGCTAGCAGCGAAAAAAGAAGAAATGTCTGCTGTTGTGCTTCGCTTGTTGGTTCGAGCTTTGATCGAGAAATCTCAAAAAGCGCTCAAGCGTGTGATGGGTAACCAGTCTAGCACGGGAGGCACTGGTTGCACACTAGGCCTTCGCGCACAATAGTGTAGCGAGGCGTACAGCAGTACATGTCGCACCAATGGTGGTGCGTAGCAGGGTCTGTGTGTTGTTGGTGTCATGTGCCCCTCTCCGCGGAAAGAGAGAGAGAGGCTGCTGCTGCTGCTGCTGCTGCTGCTGCAACCAAATTTTTATCTCTCCTCTCGCTTCCTCCGCCGATAACTAACAGCAGCAGTGTATGGCACACCCTTCTCCCGTCGTCTCGCCCTCGTTGTGGTCTGTGTCTCCCTCTCCCTGCTTATCCATGTCTGGCTCTGTGTGTGTGTGGTGTGTGGTGTGCGAGGCTATCTGTCTTGGATCAAAATCAAACGACGCCTCCTCTCGGTGTTGCAAGGGGCCAGAAACCTCCCTGCTTCAACTTGGGTATCGACGCTGCACTATCTCGACGCACCGAGCACAGATTGAAAAGGTAGCAGTTGGGGCAGCTCGGGCAAAATATTACTTATAATAGTGTGAGCACGTCTTAGATTGTAATTTGGTGCCCTAGACGGTGAAGTGGGCTGGAATCTGCTGGGTAATCTATCGAGGCTGGTCACAGACAACAGACAGACAGACAGACAGACAGACAGACAGACTTACTTGAGCCCGTTTTCTCCCCCCTCTTCAACAGATTTTTTTTTTGAAAAACAAGAAGCGTCCCTATCGGGCCACTTTTCTTCAAAAACAAACTATCACCAATCAACCACAAGGCAGCCGTCCCACGGGTTTCGGATGTTCTCTCACTTTCGCCACACTGTGATGCTTGCAAATCATGGCTGGCTGTCTCCAAACCCAGTACAGAGTGCCTTTTGTAGTGCGGGATGTATAGTGCGGTTGCCCGGTGTGGTGCGGGCGGAATTGACTAGTACTAGTACAGACAGATGGAATGATCAAGATGGGCAATACATTGAACAGTGCGGGTACCCGCTCTACCATAGTGCGAGTGAAAGCGCTTGAAACATACCCGCACTGCTGTAGAGGGCACCCGACTGTATCCTTTGATCCTCCTACATGTGAGTACTCCTGTATGATCGTTTCTTAGCAAGCAAATGAACGAGGAGCATCGCGTATAACGAGTTTCTTCTCGTCGACGCTGGTTCATTCCGTCTTCCGCGAGCTTCCTCCGCGTCTCCAATATACCATCACAGCATTATCACAACCGGATGATTTCATGCAGTCCCGACCTAATTTTTTTGCTTGTGTCGACGTCGACATGTCCTCAGGGTACTTCGCTGGTCTGCTATCTTCCAGCTTCATGGTTGGTCGTGTGATCTCGGCATACTTCTGGGGGATCATTGCCGATCGGTGCGGCCGTCGCCCAGTCGTCTTGCTCTCGCTGGCATCTACGGGAGGGCTCGCCGTGGCCTTCGGGTTTTCAACAACGTTCTTGTGGGCCCTTGCTTGCAGGTAGGTGCCTCAACCCTGGCTGGCCTCGATCTCGTGAACGTCCAGCTGCAGAGTGTTCTTACGTTTTGCAAACATTAGGCAAATCTCTTGAATCTTGAATGGAACAGAGATAATTGTTCAGCACGGCTGTTTGTGATGAAAGCAGTCTACTCTCTGTTTTCTTCGCGGAGAGTAACGTGCACCCGAGTTTCTTGAAGAAGTTTCGGGAGAGGCTGAACTCGAACACATTAGTAAGTGCCCGGCAACAGGTTCGCATGATGTTGCATTTGATGTAGGAGTAACTCTGCGTGACGAGAGAACCGACTCCGTTCCTTTACATACTGTGGACGTTCCCAGGCGCTGGTAGAATCAATGTTGATCGGCGATCGTGGGCTGCAAGCCACCATTTGGTAGGCTTTTCCCTCTGTTGTGCTCGTCGGGTACGAACTGGATCGTCCAAGAAACCTGTATTGTAGAGCGTGAAGCGATTGTTCTGCAATCGCTAGGCTGGCTCTAGGTTTCCGGTGACATGCAAGCTTTTCATCAGTCACTGCTCGCGTTTACAATGCGGTTGGTAGTCCACACGATGGATGTAATGGTCGTTGAAAGCACGGAATCATCGACGACCACTATGGCGGCGCCGATCCATCGCTCACACGTGGTCGCTTGTCTTCAGGTTTTTGTTGGGGCTGCTGAACGGGATGACGGTAATTTTTCCATCACTAGTCTCGGAAATCTGCGGCAAGGAGCACGAAGTCGTCGGGTTGGGGGCAGTGACAAGTGAGCCTATCGCTTGCAGGCGTGGTACAGCGTGTTTCCGATACCTGATGCATCGTAACATCTACGTCGAACTACGGAGCTACCTGTAATATTCGTGGGGTGATCCGCCATTCATCGTCCGTGCTTGCACGGCCTTTGTGTGCGTTTTTGGTTTTCTGTGTGCCCTCAAGGTTGTTTGTTGATGTGTGAATCACAACCAACACTGGTCTGCCAACACGACGAGCGATTCACTTGACTTGGCATCCCCTTAACAACGATACCATAATACGACATGGTAAATGCAAATGGTTGAAGAGTGTGTGGTACATGCAATGTATCGAAGCCCTTGATGGCGAACTTCATTTGTTCTCTCGAAACCGCGATATTCCGATATCAGAAGAAGCGGGAGCGTGTTGGGCACAAATATCAGGTCTCCAGGACTTGTTGAGAGGGTTTTATCAAGCACAACCTACCCACCACCGACGACACATCTCTCTCCAGTCGAAGAAGCTTGTTGCAAGCGCCGTCAAAGCAAGCATTTCTCAATGTGTCGGAGAGGGAGGCCAATCAAGAGCCAGCTAGACTGCCTGATGGATGGAAATCAACACGTTATTCAAACGCACTTCTCAGCGGCCTGGTCTCTCGGCGCATTGCTGGGCTCTGGGCTTTGCGGCGTTCTTGCGGAGCCGGCGGATCGCTACCCTTCGATTTTCACGGAGACTGGCGTGTTCGGGAGGTGCGTAAGCGTCAAAATATTGAGAGTCATACAACACCCCCGGAACGTGCCTTCAAAGCTCCACCACGTGGCACATAGCTACATAGCGGCATTTGTATCTGGGGGGGCTAGTGGGATAGGCTTGCCCCCTCCGCGCCGTGTCAAAGCGCTTTCTTCCCCCCCGAACGACACATGGCCCACCCCCGCTTTGGGCGGCGAATACTGGGAAATACCGTGCGGACTTCCTCCTCCGCTCGTCCTTATGACAACATCGAAGCAACGCTCCGCACTATACCGGGATATTGTTGTCTCATCCAGACTCGCTGAAATATCGGGCAGAGTGTAGTCTTGCAACGGACGTGGCCCCTGACGAAACGAAGGGATCTGCCTTCCGAACGGTGGGTCGCATGCCCTGTATATCGTCGTCTCATGCCCCTGCCGGGATTCTCGCCACTCAAACATTACCCCGGGAGCTGTTGCATGCGCTATTGGAACGAGAGAAGCAGAAAATTGTGTGCGTGTATACACCCGCACCCACCATCAAGCAGGTTGGGTTAGTACTCCCGTGCGCTACGCTTTCAGCAGATCTACGTTTGGCCCGCCACTCGTCAGGTTTCCTTACCTTCTTCCCAACCTCGTCGGGGCCGGGCTGGCGCTATGTTCAATTCCGCTGGTGTTCTTGTTCCTGCCGGAGACGCTACCCGTTCCTGAGGCGGCCGGCGTCCAATTGTGAGTGCTGAGAAAAAAGCATATGTACTACCTCAAGAACAAGAGGGCTGTCATACCGCGCGGTAGTGTTTTGTTCCAGTTCTCGCGGTCGCTACAACGCAACAATGTACATAATATAATGACTGTTAGCCAGCCTGTCGGTTCTGTTTCCTTGTTTCATTTCAGCTTGGTGGGGTCTAACCTCAGGAATCGGGGTTTTTGATTCTTCCATCCAATTCGTGGTGCCGAAATCTGTGCCGCCTCCTTGACGTCTTGTCAGAATGATCACGAACGCACAGCGATGTAGCGGTGAGGGTGGAAAAATGTCGCCAACATTGTGCCGAAATGGTACTGCCTCTGGGCTCTGCGCACTCAGTGCGATATGCACTAACCTGGCTGCATGACATCAACCACGTGCAGGTGGTCAGACCTGAAGTACTGAGCTGGTAGCTCGAACAGGATCGTCTCCAGGATCACGCACCCATGCCGACCGATATCGCGACTCTCATAGATGTGCCCGTACTCCCCCACCTCACCTACCCACCAATAGGGTGCGGCATCGGGCCGCAGACTTTATTGTTAGATGTTCTCGAGACGCGTTCTTACAGGAACCTCTCAGCCACCGGTGCCCACGTCACCTTGCGTTTCTTGTGTTTCAACGCGATCAGCACCAGCTTGGTTGTGCCCCCTCTCGGGCAAGACAAAGAGTCCGGCTCCCGTTCGGCCGCCGGAGGAGAAAGAAGCAACGACGGTAGCGGAAGCACGTCGTCAACAAACGGGACCGAAGTGTCCCGGGGGCGCCACTCGTTGCTAGCGGAAGGACAAGGCGAATGCGCGACAAGCAGCAGCACCTGGACCGACGTGGAGCCCTTCAATCGTGGGAGTTTGCTGGCCGCGGGACACGTCCGCGTCCTCCTGGTTGTGTACGGAATTTACACGGTGGGTTGTGCTTTTGCCACAATACGGAGGGGGTGGCGGGGAGATTCCATGTGTTGCCTCCGGCGGCATGAAACAAAGTGTTACGTAACTCCTTCGCTCCTCTGTCTGTTCGTCGTCTCGAAGTTTATCATCTCTGGGTTCGAAGACCTTTTCGCGCTGTGGGCTCTCAGCACGACTCCCGTGGGGGGCTTGGATTGGTCGGCGGAGCAAATCGGACAGGTGGATGCTCTTGCCTTGGTATTTTACGTTCAGCGAACGTTGTCTGATATTCCTTCATCGCTTGGAATTGAAGGAATTGGGGCGCTGTATTTTCACCTGGTTTGAGTTGGTGTTGTGCCAAGAGTTTTCAAACCTTGGCGAGTAGGTAGCTCTTGTGGCCATGTCCTACGCAGGATCTCGGGGCGGGCATGGACCGACAGGGATCACGTAGGGGAGTACCCAGATGGCACGGGCCATTGTCTTGCTGGATGTCAGCCAACGAACAGCTTTCCTTCCTAGTTGTGCAAATGTTAGAGGAAGAACGTCAATGTCCGGCGTGCACGTCTCGCCGGTAGGCACAACAGAAGAGGGAAACACATGGTCTTCATTCTCTTACAGATGTCACCGAAGATTAACGGCAAAGCACACAAGGCGGGGAAACATGCATGAGTATTCAATTTTGCCTTCTTTCACCCCCTGTCGCGTTTCATCTGGAGGCTGCCACTGGTGTCATTTTGTGCCGATCTTTCCTCGTGCCTCCATTTGTTCTGGTTTTCTGAACGTCACAGGTCCTTCTTGCGTCTGGACTCATGGTTTTCGTGTTCGAGCTGTTCGCTGTGCCTTTAGTCACCAAGCGGCTGGGCGTAACCATTTCGCAGAGGCTGTCATCGATTACTCTGGTGTTTGTCCTTCCCCTCGTTCCCGTGCTCGGACGCCTGCCCAACACCGGGCACCTGCTAATGATTGCTTCCGTGGGTCTTCTGTTCACGGTCTATTCGACATGTGATGCGGTAGGTGGTGAAAGTGACGGTCTTGTGATGCGGTAGGCAGGAGCAGCACTAGCACCAGCACCAGCACCAGCCTCCGCCGTTGCAGATCGGGGATCATGGAGCGGAAATGCGAACCCAGAGAAAGGGGCCGAACAGGGAAACTAAACCGAGCGTGGTGGTCCCGTCGCTTGCCTTTTTCCAAAGACGTGCCCACAGCTGCATTATTGGCAGGGACGACGCACCTCAATTCCACCCCGCACGTCTTCCAGTCCGGTTCACCTCCCACCAATCACCATGCGCACGTTCCCAACAAACGCTATATATATGCTTTGTCCCTCGCGTCTACGCTTGCGCATCCCCCCAGTTCTACACGTGCATTTCTTTCGCCATCAACAACGCCGCGGAGCCGGAACGATGCGGCGAGGTGAATGGTTTGGCGGCTTGCGTTGCTTCAGTAGTCAGCGCGGTCGGCCCCGCTGCCTGGTCGGCGCTGTACGCCTTCTCCGTGGAATTCGCCGATGGTAGGTCCCCGTTCCCGTTCCCGATCGACTTTCGCCTCGCTTTTTGGCTCATGGCCTTCCTGCGGCTCGTTGTGGCTATCCTTTCATGGAGTACCATCAAAGGCGACAAGGCCCACGAAAGGAGAGTAGACACCCCACCCGAAACCGTAGAAGAGTAGTTTCCGGTGTTGCAATGTGAGAGCAACGTTGTTGTATGATGACGATGAGAATATGGGCGAATTCTTCGATGATAGAGATGGTAGCGGTGGTGCTAGACGCCTCCTCGAGCCGCGGCGGTTTCCCGAGTCCCGGACACCCCGCACTATGTGAATGAGGGAAGGACATGCTAACGGGCTACACGGCGGGAAGCTAGACGTCCCTGGCCACTAAGACACGGAACGAGCGCGGGGATGGACGGTCGCAATAGAACTAGTTGAAGAGCAAACTTGCACCCCGTGTGGGTTTCCGGAGGGTCGCTGTTTGCACGTCTGCCAAAGCTTGTTCGCCGCCGGCGAAATACTGCAGTACCGACCTGCCTGTACGAACCAACTGTTGTTTCGGGTCAAGGACCAGGTTTTTCGTGTAAATAGTCGCCAACATCGATCATAGATTACCGCATCACACATGGCGAATCGGCACCCCGAAACTCCCTCTATTGGGATTTACTAAATCAACCGCCCAGGAGTTGCTATGTTTTGAACCCCTCGATGGTGATGAGGACCAAACCGAGGATACAACGAGAATTGGTTCCCTCTAGAGGGTAAAGGCACCTACGTCGAGGATTGAGTAAACGTAAGAGGCCTCAGGGGTAGCTCCGTCCTGAACTCAAGCTTATTGTTGGTTTTCCAGACAGAGAGCTGGGGGAAGAAGAAGAACGGCACTGATCATGCTACTGTAGCTTCTGACGACCTTATGCGTGTGGAAGACCGGTATTTCCCTGGTTCTGACAATACTGGCAGTTCCCGTAGGACTGCCAATGGGACACGTGGGAATTCTAATGACACCGTGCTTGGTTCTTCGAATGAGACCGCGCTTGGGATGCCCCACGCGGCGATCCGATGACGCGCAAGGGATGTCCCAGTATGAAGTCCCTGGGGTGTCCCGAAGCATCTTACCACCCAGACGCGTAGCAGTGAATGCACAGTACCAGAACAGATGAAGAGAGGACGGACAGAATGTCGCTTGGAACGCAACGCGCCGGCTACCATATTGTATTTTCTGAACATGGGTGTGTAGTGTGGGCGAGCGTTCCGCCTGGCGCCCCAGGTTTCCCATGGGTTGCCTGACGAGTGACATCGAACGTCACATTGTCCTGGTCGCAGTTGGATTATTGTTTTGGATTGACTTTCATGTTCGGGTCGATGTCACACCATGGGGGCGGTTGGATAGGTATTATTTGGATTGATTTCTTTGCTAAGGTTTTTCGCGAGTATTGGAAGGTTTGGCATGTTCTCGTAAGTCATTGTTGGGGCCTTGTGCTTCCGAAGGTTATTTGAACTGGTCGACAAGTTGATCAACATTGTGTTGACTTCCAGAAAATAGTCAACTTCAAATTCTCGCCGCAGTAGATTGCTCTGCGAGCCAAGGTTTTCCCTCCCCACGCTGGGTGCAACTTCAGCCATGGACTGCCAAGCGAGAGGGTCATTCTTTCACCTACCAGCATCCCAGGAGGAGGCAGGGCAGGAAATGATCGCAAGTACAACAAGTGCCACTTCCGCTGAGGAAAGCCAAGCATGCACGTCGAGAGTCATGACGACCACTACAATTGACCACTAGTCGACGGCCGATGACCACTAGACTACTACATCCTCAGCGCTGACTAATAGTCGCGTGGTCATCGTGCTTCTTAACGGTGCATGCAAGACACAAAATACGATGTTTTGGAAATAGCACTTCCATCGAAAAACAACTACTTCTCCCCACCATACAGTGACAACATTTCGGGAGCAAAGAGCAAATTGTCACGAAGGGCGAATATAGACGCAATTGATTTCCCCTTCACCGCTTCCATGGCACAAGATGAATGCATTCTTCTGCCGGAGTTAGCCAACTTTCTTGTCTTGCCCTGTCCAGATTGTGATGCCGTTTCGGACGGCTCGTCCCTAATACCTTCGTTGTGATTGATTCTATTAGTCGCGATGGGTTCGGTGGGACCCTCGAACAACAACAACCGGATGGCTAAATTGGCCCAACCGTCTTCATCAGCCGGGCTACCTTGGACTCCGAGCGTCATTGAACGCCTCTCGATCTTGATGCAGGTAGCATCATGTGGTGTTCGACTCTCCGGAGTATCCACCGAGCTTGACTTCGACCCCTCATGAGGATTCGCCTCCAGACCTCCCCGCTACCTCCCGCAGGGCTGAGTTGTGCGCCTCCGGCCCAAGCTGAGATACGCCTCCGACGGAAGCTCCCTCGTCTAAAGAGGCTGCCTTGCATTCTCTGGCCCTCTCCCAGCCGCCTCACGTCGAAACGCCACATTTTGCTCTTCACGGTCCGTTTCAGTTGCAGTGCATACCCGAACGCGGTTACGGCGACAGAATGTAACGCCGAAGGCACAGATGACATGCTCGTCAACCGGCATATTCCAAACTGTCTTTCGCCCGTCTTGCTATCCGCGAAGTGGCTACCAGCTCTTACTACCGCGATGGTGGTGTGGAGCGTGTCAATCACACTATGTCACAAACGCTAGCTATGGTCATCAGCGGGCGGTAAGACGAATGAGACACTCACCTGCCGCATGTTGAACTTTCCGGCAACAATTAGGTCAATGCCGCCAGTGATTTAGCGCAAAAGCAGCCGCACATGAACCGTCTACCGTGCATGCCGAAGACGATCTTGAGCATCCTATTGCACGCTGTCACCAAAGCTTGCATCGTGATCAAGTTGAGCTTTGTGGTCTCGCTGCTGATCGCCAACGTCGTTCCTAGGACTTGGCGGATGAGCAGCACAACTTGCCCATTTCACGGATTGAGCGGCGATTTCCGCTCGTTCGAATGCTTTACGCCAGCTTCCTTCTTCCACCGTTGGTGGATGTACAACTCCGGATCCAAGGAAACGTTTACTGTCGGCCGTACGTTTAGGCCTTGGGGCAAACCCACATACTGTAACATCGATGACATGCCGCGACTTCTGCTAACAATTTGGAAAGCTGGTATGCAGGAGTTGGAACGAAAGGTGGCGTCCAGTGGGGAACATCATTCACGGTTCACTTGGGTTATTTACAGTTCACAGAGTTCGCAGGGGATGAACGAAAACCGCACTCTTCCACAGATACTTTCATCAGGCCGGGATAGATCAGCAGGGGTCGGTCGTGTTGCGTGCTGGCCAGCTTGTATATTCATTCGGCTGCATGTAGAGAAGCAGGAGAACAATGAACAGAAACCGGTACAATCAATTCCTGTCGTGGCCTCTGGGGCTGCCTGGGTGAACTTGCACGCGGAACTCGCGCGTTGCAAGCGAAAACGTTTGGACTCCCAGAAACTCACAGGAGAAATTCAATGCTTGCCCCCTGCTGTTGTTGTTGTTGTTGTTGTTGTTGTTGTTGTTGATGCCTTCACATGAAAAACCGTTCCGATCTCTCTACCCAGTACCTTCATCTGTTCGTACTGATCAGACACTTGACCAAGCGATTCCCGTAGTCACAGGCTAGCTTACCTAAACAAACGGTACTCAAAAATATTGAACCCGGAGGGTCCGCAAGCCAAACTATATCAATGACAGATAGTCTGGGGCCCTCCGCTCTACACACACGCTATGTGGAGCAGAAATGGACTAGAACTCAACCTCACCGGCCAGAGAGAAGGAGAAGTACATCCCCTGGTTCAATCTTGGTTTTGAACTGTGAAAGAGAGAATGCTAACCAGGGGCGAAACGACAAGGACAAAAGAAAGACAAAGAAAAGGAGAAGAAAAGAAGAGCGAAAGAGAAAACGAGGCAGAAACGAAAGAAATATACAGCCACACACAGACACAAGATCAGACATACCCCACATCACAAGGAAACAAACACAATCAGGCCCACCATTAACAGCCAAGGCATGCCATCACTCTGGTGGGGAGTTGATGAAATGATGCAATCACGGGGAGGGGGGGGGTACTCATCATAGTCGTGCATGCCGGAGTCGTTAGACCATTGACGTCGCATCCTTACACTGGACGGAGCACGCCGGGTTCTCACCAGACCAGGCTCTCACATCACCAAGCGCGAAGCGCCGTGAGGTATTCGGCGAGTCGCATCAAGGGTGCGCTGCATCCTGCTACGGGTGTTCGGCATTCTAGGGATTCCACCTAAAAAACGCACGAAAAAAAATGTTTGGAAAAACGCGTTTCAGAAAGTGACGGTTGAAAAATCGTGTTTCGCTGTCTCCCCGCTAGTGCCGGTTGGAACCCCCCTCCGTGCTCTTGATGTTTTTTCGGACATCAGTACTCCCTCGTTTTTTAAATTTCCGCAGACACGGAACACGCGGCGGCGTGATTTGGCGTGGNCGGCGAGTCGCATCAAGGGTGCGCTGCATCCTGCTACGGGTGTTCGGCATTCTAGGGATTCCACCTAAAAAACGCACGAAAAAAAATGTTTGGAAAAACGCGTTTCAGAAAGTGACGGTTGAAAAATCGTGTTTCGCTGTCTCCCCGCTAGTGCCGGTTGGAACCCCCCTCCGTGCTCTTGATGTTTTTTCGGACATCAGTACTCCCTCGTTTTTTAAATTTCCGCAGACACGGAACACGCGGCGGCGTGATTTGGCGTGGTGTTGGCACGCGCGTTGACGTCCTGAAGCAAATGGCGCGCCTACAGCGTGGTAAGATTCGGCATGAGAGGCATGGCCAAATCATGCAGATGATTACGGCGGCTCTGCTGTGTGCGGTGGCTGGAGAGGAGGAGCTTTTCCTCGTCCTGGCGGTAGTGGCAATGCGGCAACTCCAATGCGTTCCCAACTCAAACCACGCTCCCAACTCGAACCACGCCGACGGGTAAACTGTGCTAAGCCTGACTTCCAAGCACTTGACCGCTGGTGTGACTGATGACTCGCTACCTCCCTCAAGGGGCGGGGATGCACACGAAGTCCGCCGTAGGAGAGGCGGCTACCGCGGTCACTGGTGCGGGTGAAAAGCTGTCCCAACCACGCCCACCACGCACGCCCCCAGTCCGTTCTTTTGAACACAACCGTTCGCCGGAAATGACCCCAACGCGTGCCGGTTCCACACCAGATGCCTCAGGGATTGATAGCTGTGCGCTCGGAGTACGTGTCGTGCGGTAAGGTGGATGTATGCGTGTGCGCGCATAAAGTTTGTATTTTTCAAACGCAAAAAGAAAAACGCACCAAATGGCAAAAAAACAGACGAGCTGGACGGTAGCATTTCGTACGAAAAGGCGCGGCGGAACCTCGAAACACGGTTTTTTGGCGAAACACGTTTTTTTTCGTGCGTTTTTTCCCGAGGTGGAATCCGGCTATTGTGTGCTTACTTCCTTGCAACCAATGACAGCTGCATATGACAAAATATATTTTCTGGTGCTTGCAGATCCAGAGACAGTTGAAAGCACTGTGTAAGTGCCTCGAGGGTGCTTGACCAATTTAACCTAATGTGGTGCAATTATCCCCTTTGCGCGGAGTGAGGGTTCTCGACCCCATGTTACGGTTCGGGTTCATTGTTCGGCAAGTACACCCCCACAGAGGTGGTTGGCCGCATTCAGCGGAGCCTCTGCAAGAGCTGTCTGGACTCGCCCTGCTCTGCTCACAACCAAGCTACCATCCGGAGCTTCCACTAAAAGAATAAGACCATAACATCCATGAGGAGGCCGTTGCTCCAACACTACACCTGCCACTACAGCGGCTATGGGTATCTTCACTACTCATCGCACTCGGTACAGTCGTTCTATTGCACAACGAGAGGTCAGTGTCTGTGCATCGCTGCATGAGAGAATACCTCTCAGGAGCAGCAATTCCCTTCCTCGCACCAGAAGCAGTGCTATGATCGGGAGCTATACGTACTTACTGTTTACACACCTTATACCTCTACCGATACGTGCTAACGACTCGTTACACCCGCACAACATATCTACTCGACCACCATAATGGTTACCGCAAAAAAACAAAACAAGGCAAAAAAAAAGCGGTAACTTGGTTGCCGAGTTCACGAAGTGATCGGCTTGTTCTACAACTTCGCTGCCAAGCGACGAAATCCCAACCCCGATGGCAACCACCGGAGGATGCAGCTTGTTCTACAACGTCGTTGCCAAGCGACGAAAACACAACCCCGTGAGGAGGGGGGGGGGGGGGGGGGGGG